TTGTGTCAATTATTTTACTTTACTAGTTTGTCAATAAGTGACTCACAACGAATAAGTTGTTTTAACTTAAAATTTAGAGTGGACCTCCTGGGACATGCAAAAAATGTTAAAATTAACATTTTTTTTTTTACTGTGTATCCTTCAGAAATTTAAACCAGTTAAATCAATTCATTAGAACATATAAAGACCCGATCGACAAATTCCAACAAAAAAATGTCATTTATCGTATACCGTGAGTCATGCAATTCTATTTATACAGAACAGACTAAGAGACAAATCATGACTAGGATTAAAGAACATAAAAATTATGTCAAAAAACAAGATTGCAACTCAGTATTAGCAGAGCACTCTATAGAAACTGGACATATATTTTGGTGGGATTCCATACATATATATATATATATATATATATATATATATATATATATATATTACATGTAGAGTCACATTATAACAAAAGATTAACTTCTGAAATGTTACACATTAAATTACAACAACATGAGCTAAATAAAATGCAGGATACAGAAATGTTAGACAACATATACTTACCACTATTAGACAAACTTAACAAGTAACGTTTCCATCGCAATTATTGTAAACATGCCTTCAAACTCTGTACAACTTACCACTTACAGCCAATTTTTTCACTTCTAGATAAGTTTTCGATAACTTTATTTAGAAGATATCTTCCAAAATTGGTTCTCCTTATTGGTTCTCAGAGGAATTTATCCAGAGGATAGCTATCGAGAGGTATAAAGAAATCGGCCATTATCAGTCTAGATGATAACGTTGACATGATCACATCGTTTTAACCATTGACAATTCAAAGATCGTTTAAAATGTAAGTGTATTAGATGAAGATATGTCATAGTTTAGTTATTATGTAAAAATTGTTTATTATAAATGTTTATTATAAAATGTTTGTTATGTTTATTATGTAAACAAATTTTGCAATTACAATTAATTTATCTCAAAATTTACCAACTATGTCACTTTAAATATTGTATAGAACTGAAGAAGACTTAAAATGTAAAAGTCGAAACGTCTCTGTAAATTTTGAATTTCAATATCTGCAAATCACCTGGCAAATAGTTCAGTAACGCCTCTTTTTGATACCAATTTGATTACTATTTTTTATTTATATTTATATATTTATCTCTTTCATACATTCTATAATGTTTTGCATGCGCAGATATGTGCTCCCGTCTTGCAACGACATTGATCGAAGGTTCCGATCAATGTAAAACGGAGAAACAAATCTTCTCGAAAAAGACCTTCGTGCGCTTCCCTAGAGAAATCAGTCAAACATAAGTCAAATACAATGTAAATATGAATCAGATTTAATTTTTATTTGTTCTTAATTTGATGACTTAAAGTAGATTTAAATTTAAACAAATTTGTTTCAATTTAGATGGTAACTCCAACACCAAAGCATAAAGAAATAATCAAATTTACAAAAGCACTTCAAATTTGTTTTAAATCTAATTAAATTTAAATAAATTTATTTAAATTTGTTTAAATTGAATTCAAAGGATTATATTTAATTACTTCTAATATGATCTCCTAAGCCTAAATTTAACTCAAATTTACCTCAAATGTAACTCAAATTTAACTTAAATTTACTGTGAGCAGCAACCCTCCCCCTCCCCCCAGGCTGTTGTACCCCAAGCTGCAAAAAAGAAAACTCATAGAGAATTTTTTTTTTATTGCACTATGCTTTTCTGAACAGCAAAAATATTTTGTTACATAACATATGGCTCAATTATGAGACCAATACTTCGCAACGAACTTCTTAAGTTAAAAAAACTTAAAGTATTTAGCCACATGCTATGAAAGTATTCAGTCTTCAACTTCACATATGAAGAAATCAAATGTAAACTTAAAAAGTAAAAAAACTACAAGAAAAGTAAAAATTCCTGGCATTTTTCCATACTTTTTGTCTATTATGAGCTCTCTTGTACTAATCAAAACTTGAGTCAAAAGATAAAAATTATTCACTGTTTGAGCTAGATGAGCCTGACATGATCTCTTTTGTCTTGCCTGACCAATACTTGACAAACATAGCACTTAATTAAAAATCCTTAGGAAATACTGAAAATATTTAGTCTTTACGATTGAAAGAAATCAAATGTATAACTCAAAGAGTAAAAAACGAATAAAATAAAAACTTTTTGTCATTGAGCTTTAAAGAAAGCAGACTTATTAACTAAAAAGTGACTCTTACACGTTACAAGAACAGTCACAGCATTATGAAAAAAGTTAAAAGTTAACTTTGGTTTAATTTGTTCATTTTTTTAATGTTTTGTCTCAAGTGGCTTATTTAAGACCATAAACTTTAAATTAAAACAAATTTACGAATAAAAAACCAAATTTAAATTAAATTTGATGTAAATTCATTTAAATTTAGACTAAATTAAAAAGAGAAAATAAATTTTAAATAAATACGATTCAAATTTGAAACAAATATAGTTAAATATATCTTAAATATATCAACGTTTTACAAGGGTTGTGTGACATGTCATCAATTACGACAGAGATTTGTGTTTAAATATTCTTCTCTAAGAAATCTAAATTATTTTTGTATTTTTTGTGTTATTGCTTACATATGTAATTATATATCAAGAGGCACGGTAGTGCCTCGCGCCAAGTTTCACGCGCAACGAAGTTGCGCTCGAACTGCGCGAGCACACCGTGCCTATTATACGCGAGATTCATGCAAAATAGAAGTGGGAAGATTTTCTCAAGGCAATATCTAAGTAACGACTGAANAAGAATGTTTTGTAGTATATAAATGTTGTAAAACAAGGTTTATAGAGAAAGAAGTTTTTGGAGTATAAATAAAAAAATAATTTAATTTAAATACAATACGTGTTGTGCGTGTACTTGGCGCCTGTTTTTACCTTTTTTTAAAAAGGTTATAACATACAACAGCTGATATTTATCAGTAATCATGATTAACTGCAAGTATAAAAACGTATGATATATATAATAAGTTTATAAAAAAGAACTTAATATATGTGATTTCTTATTCAGTTGTAATTAAAGATCTCTGTTAGGTCTCTTGTTTATTTCTAATTTTTTTCCCAGAAAAGAAAGCTGACAATATTCTGTATGTATCGCAGCCAATCACACATATATATACGTGTGAACATATATGTATGCATGCGTACAGCCTAAATATGTAGTATTGCGAGCATTTGCGCTAATGCACATGCGCGTATTACGTTCTTTCTTCCGTCTCGTAACATCGATCGGAATACCGCTCGCGACTCGCGATTTAAAGCAGCGCGAAACGCAAAACCGTCACGTTGATTGCGATGTTGTTGAGAAACAGTAGCGTACGCGGTGTAGTGCGTACAACACGTGTGACGAGTGTTGGCAAATAAGCAAGCGAAAAATGCATATATTCGAGAAATTAATAATTACAATAAACGATTGGAGAAAGCGACAGCGTGATATGCATCTTGGGAAATAGAGCACGCTTTGCTAATACGTACAAAAAATATGCGGCGTGCATTTCACGGGTGAAACAAGCCGATGTGTCGAGCTGGCTGCCACCGCCGTCGCCGCCGCTGCAGCGAGCTCATTTGGGGACGCGCCTCTTTACCACCGTCGCGAGAACATGTCGTCGCGACAAGCTTTCCAAAACGCGATACATTCGCCAGGACGATAAGGCGTAACCACACGTAGGCGGATCATATATTCGCAACGCGAATGCCGCCATTGCCACCGTATTACGAGACGCAGTTCGTCGTCACAAATGTCGAATAAACAGAAAGCTAATTCCCGTTTCAAGGTACATAGCAAAAGTTAGGCGAGCAAGGGTATAGGGAATATTTCCCGGCTCTACGTACATAATTTTAGATCGCCCGCGTGAACACCCGAATATCCCGCCACGAGTAATCGCTTTCCATGTATATTACGAGCCCATGCTTACAATGTGCTTTTATCGCTTGTTTATAGCCAATGGACTGTTGGCCGAATAACGAGCGTATCTACACGGTGTAATACCCGGATTCAACTTTGCGTTCACATACGTACAGATTTTGAGTAGTGCCTAAATCATAATTTTATGTTAACTATTTTCTACAACAAAAAAAAAACAAAAATAAAATAAAAATAAATTGAACAAAAATTAATCGCGTTTGCTTATAATTTATACGGTCTTATAATATAATTAAAACTAGAAAATTTTATTTTATTTTTTTCAGTTTTGTAATTAAGCTTTCTTTGAGTCTTTTTTATTTATATTGGTTTTTTACATTTTTATATGTATGCAGAAATAATGTAAAACAAACTTGTATTTATCTTGCTATTATTGTGTTTTTGTTTGATATAATATATCTCAATTATTATTATTAATATTATTATTATTATTATTATTATTAATATATCAACTATTATTATTATGTAAGTACTTAATATCATTATGCCTTTCTTTTATGTGTATTAGATGACAACACCTTTTCGGTCATTGTTTCGCTGTGATAAAAATAAACAAAACATGGAAGAATGGTTGAATGCACAAAAAATACAGATGGAAAAGGATCCCCAGGATAATCCTGGAACTGCCGAATTAATAGGAATTAATATTCATCAGTGGTATGCAACTAATCATGCTAGACCTATGTATTGTAATGTCTGCAGAGATGCTCTGTATGGTAAGTTTATATTTTCATAAATAACAGGATAAAATATTTTGTGTTTTTAGTTATTTAAAAATGACAACACGAAATTTAAACATGAGAGCCTTACGCTGGATGTTTGTTGCGGAAAATATATATGTGTATATATATATATAATTTCTTTTTATGTAAAATTTTACATGTAAATTTGGATTAAAATTTTAATTCCTAAATTTATATAGGATGCTATACTTTGTATCACGTATATGAGCAAAATCCGCTTTTACTCCCCTATCTAATTATATTAACATATATATATATATATATATATATATATACTCCAATAGACAAATTGTGAAAATATTGCACAAAAATGACATCATAAATGACAACGATTTTGCAATGATTGCACTAATTGTAATATGATTCGCCATAACGCAACAGTTTTATCAAAATAAAATTTTGTAAATAATATTTGCCAAAAATTAAAAAAGAGTCGTTATGCATTTCCATAAGTATATACATGAATTAATTTAATTTCTTCATATGCAATTATATTTCTACATATTTTAAACATCACATACCCAGATAGCCAAATGTGAAAACTCAATATAAAGCAAATCATTGTGTAGATTAAATTGCTCGCAAATTGCTGTTGTGTTGTTTTTATTTAATGCAACGACAATGTTTTTGTCAATTTAGTATCAATATGCTGAGTTTTATTGTCAATTAATTGTTGTAGCCAATGTTTATGACAAGTGAGTCAGCAATATGTGAGCAATGATTTTTATTCATAAGTTGAGAAAAATAATATAAGTTTATTGCCGATGAGTTGTGTTGGGAACTTACTGTTATTATATTTTAAAAACTGTTGCTGGCAAGAACATACTGAAAAGAGGATACACTCTTTTGTTACATTGCTGAAAACTTATGAGCAATAATAAGCAATTTCAGCTACCAGATAGCTAACTGAGTGCAAGTTGTTGGCAACTTGCCACAAATATTACTTTATACTTATATTATTTTTCTCAACTTATGAATAAAAATCATTATATATATATGTATATATATATTTACTCTGCAACAAACATCCAACGTAAGACTCTCATAACCGTTTAAATTTGTTTAAAACTTAAAAGCCTAATAAAACTCTTCATTACTTGATATTTAAAAATGTCTGTAAATATAAAATATATTTACAGACATACTGTCTGTAAATATAAACTACATTTATACACATACGATATTATCATAATACGATAGTATTATGTACCCACACAGAATAAAAACTTCATTAGACATCTATTAGATATCGCATGAAGTTTTTGATGTCTAATGTATGTCTAATGGAGGTTTTGTTCTCTGTGGGTAGGTGTTACTTCCCATGGTTTAAGTTGCGAAGTCTGTAAATACAAAATACACAAGAGATGTAGTGCAAAAGCAATAAACAATTGCAAGTGGACCACCCTAGCATCTATTGGAAGAGATATCATTGAGGACCAAGATGGAGTATGTATGCATAAAGTTTATATATAATCTTAAAAAACTGATATATTATATACA